TCTCTCTCTCTCTCTCTCTCTCTCACACACACACACACACACACACACACACACACACACACACACACACACACACACACACACACACACATATACACGACCCGGAATCAGATCTCACATCAAGTTTCACTAAGAGTGTTAATGACAATCCACACAGACAACGAATGACTCTTTCACACTTCTTCAAGCTACTCGATCGCCAAACAGATCAGGAACCAGCATCAAGGCCCCTAACAGTGCTATTTGCAATCGGCATCGACAACGAACGACTGTTTGCCACTTTCTTAAGGTGCTCTGTCGAACACCACTAACTCCCGAATCATTCGGTGACACTCTTCAACTACTATTTGTCAATCGGAAAAGGAGCCTCAGGTCCTTCCGGGAAGATAAATGGTGGACACAATTGTTGCAGGGTACAAACGGGTTGCAGGTTCAACTTGCCAAATGTCGTGCACCAGGCTGGGTGTTCCGCCCGACCACACTTGACAGGTTCAGTCCATCAACTTGCAAGGTGTCGGGCGTCGGACCCCTGACCTTTTATGGAAAATAGGCACCACATACCCAACACGGTGCCATTTTGAATCGTGTACTGTTTGTCACAGCAACACTAAGCCAGGACAACATTGTCAAGGTGTCATACAAAGAGCCCCTGCCCTTTTTTACACTGTGTCAATTCGCATTTAATAACGACTATTCATGTATGAAGGGCTCAAAACGCCCCACCACAACATTTGGCATGTCAACACCTCATATACTGACCATTTAAAGTGTCGCATGCAGTGAATCCCCCCCGGCCGCGGACAGGCGCGGCCAAGTCCGCGGCCGCGGCCAGGCCGCGAAGCCGGCGGACGTATCCGCGTGGACGCGCGCATTCGCGGACACATGGCGGTCGCAGGGGAGGGGGTTTGAAGATTCTGACGGTGCCACGTGGCGGCGCATCCCCTGCCCCACCTTTGATTGATTGATTTATTGACTGATTGATTGGTGTGGGCGAGGTCGTCCTGCCCCACCTTTGATTGATTGATTGATTGATGGATTGATTTTTTTATTCGATTTTTATTTATTTATTTTTTGTAGATTGATTGATTGATTGACTGGTGGGGGAGGGGTCTCCCCCCGCGCAATTGATTGATTGATTGATTGATTAATTGATTGATTGATTGATTGATTGATTGATTGATTGATTAATTGATTTTTTAATTTCTTTATTCAATCTTTTTTTTTTTTCTTTTTTTTGATTGATTGATTGATTGGTTGGTGGGGGAGGGGTCGCCCCATCCCCGCGACCACGGGCACACACACACACACACACACACACACACACACAATCGCGCAGCACACACGCGCGGCACACACGGCGCGCAAAGACACG